TACAATATCACCGGGAATTTTGCGAAATAGAAAACTTTGAAAAATGTTGTAACTGCGCGCCAGAGCCTTGTGGTCTGAGGGGCAATACAAATGTTAGTATTTATTTTGCTTTGACCATTATGCATTTGTGTATTTAATTCCAAGGCAGGTCTATCTTCTGTGTGTTGTGAGTTTCAATATTTTCAAAAATTTTGTTTTTATTTGTCGACAGTGGGTAGAGCGCCGGGTTTTAATACCAAGCCGTTGAAAAATGGGTTGACGTTCAGGGGGATGTGAAATCAAAACTCACGCATAATATAAAAAAAAGTAAACAAACGATGTATCATAATAAAAAAAGCTTCATTACTCTATTTTCTCGCGTGTATGCAAACAAACACGTGAACATGTGCGTATGCACCGCAAGTTCGCTCGATGATAGTTTTCGTGGTTGGCGGCTGTTACCCTTGCACGCGAGGATCAAAAACAAAAACGGCTAGCGCCATCTTTACATGGTTCATTCAACACTTTTCTCTCCCGCGTGAACGAGAAAAAGTCGATGGGGTGCTCGGTCGCTCGTGACTCTCAAAGTTTATCGACTCTCTTGTGTATCGAGGGTCCTCATTTTTACCGAGAACTTATCGATCGCACTGCCGTCAAATTACTTTCAGAATTTTATCAACGGAGATTTTTGAAGATTGTTTGAATCAATTCGTGCAAATGAGAAGTTTTGTGATCATTTTTTGTTTTTGTTTAACTTTTTCGCGATGGGAATGAATTACGTAAGAAAAACTTGTACCTGACGATAACGACTATGGGTATACTTTAAGCAAAATATGATCATACATTACCATAAACTTGTACGATATTTTAAGTAAGTGACTTATTGAAGTTATGTCAATAAAAAACTATTAGTTGTCCATAGAATTTACTTTTTTTTAAAATTTTTAATCTTTTACGCATAAGATCACGCACTTAATCAATGATTGTACATTGAAAATTACTGTTGCCTCTCTTTCTCAAACTTAACTTGTTCAATATATATTTTTTTCTATGATTGTAAGATGAAACTACAACATTATTATGTGGTACCTCAAGTGGACTATTGTCGAATTAGTGAGTGCATTTAATGAGCAGTTAATATAAAAAAAATTAATCGTCTCAAATTAATTCAAGTAACATTTATAATAAAACAACCATTTTTGTGCTTAAAAATGTTGACTTACAACGCTGCACCTATTACTAGAACATCAGTGCACATTTGTGGACGAGGAAAATAGAGAAACGTCCTTGATAGTTTTCTTTCTAAAATTTTACGTAAAGGTGTACAACTACAAACAAGGAGGGGACCCTTTTGTGATACTGCGACACCAACTGAGGGGCAAACAGTTGGATCAATGTAGCTCCTCGTAGAACTGCATAGGTGTTTCTGGCTAGGAACTAAGCACTATATGCTCGAGCGCAATGGTTCTCCTTCACCCAAGTTTGTCGGTTGTACGATACGAGGGATGCTCTCCGAGTTGTGCAGTGTGTACTCGACTGTATGATTCTCAAGTGTAGTGCCGCATGATCGAGAATATGCAGGAATTGCTAACGCGGTGATTAGGGGTGTGCGCGGTATTGGAGACGACATTACGTTCGAGTGAATAAGTATCTTTTAAGAGATGTACGAACGATTTGAGGCTGAACTCACTGTGAAAGACATTGTGAACTAAGTAATGGGATCCATCAGAACTGGTCTATGGCGATCATCCACTAAACGGTGCATGATCTTCAATTAAAAAAGTATTAAAAAATTTCGTTTATCCACTAGTTCATATTAGAATTTTTATTACTAACAAGAATTTGGGAATCTGAATGCTACGTTCATAAAAAGTTGCGAAGGAATCTCCAAAAATGTAAAGATGATAAATATTGCAAAAAAATAAAACTAATACTTTGATTAGAAAGCAATGACACTGACCGTAGATTGACTATGTAATTAATACTTCACTATGAAAAACAATTTCAATCATTGTGAAAATTCATGTATATCATTAAATACCAACATAAAGCCCAACATAATAGATACAGCTGCTTTTGGAAATTATCAAGTTCCGTCTTTTTTATCAGAATTAAAGGTATCATCCTGAGTTGCTATATGACAAATTTCAGAATCATCAGCTGGTACCTCATTTTAATAATTTCATTTGTAAGCACAATTAGGAGTTGAAGAAATTATCAGTATATAATTAACATTTTATGTACATGTGATAAAAAATTATCATCAGAAAAACGTAAAGATTTCAATAGGTACTTTTAAGATGGAAGGAGAAAATTCGTTAAGTAAATATTTCTAAAAATTTGCAGTTTGTGCTATAAACAGAAAAATAAATAGTGTTAATCAGTTAGCTATTTTTTTTTCTCCTATAATGAGAAAAAAAAAGTTCAAGGCATTGGCTCGACTTCAGAGAGCAAAACTCTTGAGCGGTTGAGAAATCATTCCAAAGTTTTTGATAATATGACATACCATAACTGATATTTTTGTCGATAGATGAGAGACGTAAAGAATAAATCGAAAGAATATTTTTAATAAAACATACTATGAATACGGGAACATAAAGAAAAATATACATGTAATGTAAGAAAGAACTCATTATAAAACACTGCAGCATATTCTTATAAGTGAAAAAAATTTTACAAATAAAAGATTTAGAGGATATTTTTGTGCATCTTAAAAATGCCTGTAACAATGTAAAAGTTTTCATGAAAGGCTGTACACCTGTCTCTCTAATTCTAGCAGTCCATGAGAATGACGGTTATGTAGGAAAAATCTTCGGCATTACTTTTTGATTGTCAGTGTAAGCATTAAACAGTCAAGCCCTCACGTAGTTTAATTGACAACCAAGGTTAATATGAGTAAGATAAAGATGATGCGTTAATTTTTTTTACTTTCCAAAATAATTCAAAAATATGCATGGTAGTTAACATGCATGAACAAATGCATGATTACTTATGTATGTAATATTTTCTTCGCAGGTGCCGACAAAACGCTGCATTTTTATTTATTCCTCCGAGGAAACTACAAGAAATAAAAAATGATTTTTATGTTTTTAGAGTACATTAAATTCATTGAATATTATTATTTAAAAATTTTATGAGCAAATATTTATGTATTTATTTATTAATTAATAAGATTCTCAGTGAGAAAAGACATGTTTTTGTTGTTGCTGGTGCTGCTTAATGCTGATTTTGCGGTCTTGCAAAGTAAGCAAGCGGGAGCAACCCTGGAAACAACTCTCTAGTGACCATGATATTTCTAGTGATTCGTTCGAATGGTTTCCTATACGTTTTTGAGGTTGATGAACACGAATCTGATGCTATTTTTTTGCTAAAAATTAGATAGGATGTATTTTTTACTATTTTTTATTCGTGAATGATTAATTTATTTTAACATTTTAAATATTTTTAAAAATATTTTATTTTGAACTGAAAAATCTTGATTTATTTTTAATGACCTAATACGTTTTCGATTTTTTGATTTATAAATAAGTAAAGTTAGTATTGTTAAGCAATTGAAACTTTGCATGTTTCTTTGGATATTTTGGAGCCAATTTTTTCATGTAATAATAAAATATGTATACATTGCATACAAATACATTAATATTTTTTTTATTTTTTCAGACCCTCTCATCTGGACTGATCCTCCATTCTTCCTAATACTGATACTAAAAACAAAGTTTCCCAGACATACACAGTTAGAGTCACTACTTCATTTGATATGGGGTGGTCAACTAGAGGAACAGGACGAACTTGCGATAGCCTATGTGGGACAAAAACATTGATAGGACGTTTTTCAAAAAAATCTCGATAAATTTTCTGCGTCAGTTTCTTGACACCTAAACTAAAATTGTATTCATTAGAGACATTTAAAGTTTTCCTTCCAATTCACCCTCTTTTGACATTTAGCATGGTTAAGACTTTTGTGACCCCTAAAGGCTGTTTTCTGTCAACTTTGTTAAGTTCTAATATATTTATTGGCAAAGTAGTTCGACGTCCGATGGCCCTAAAAAAGACCAGTGAGCTTCTTAAGTTAACTCTTTCTTGACTGAAGTTTACAGCAATTGTGACTGCCTAGATACCTCAGGGTGATCTTCTCTGGCTTACTGTTGAAGACCCAGACTGATTGGGAGAAAAATTACAAAGTCCGAAGCTTTGGGGCTAGTTGTAGTGCTCTTTCCCAACGTCTCTTGGTATAACGTCGAAGACGTTGGTGTCTAAAGCACCTTTTTTAGTTGCAGATTCAGTTGTTTTGGTGATCTTAGATGGGGAGATTGATTAGTGATACTTGTCCAGTGGAGGCTGTCCCGTTGGCTCAAGTTTTTTTTCCTTCATAGCTGTCATAGGTTCGCCTAGCGCAGACCTTGGAGAGGATCGGTGATTCCTGGTTGAATGCGTAGAGTCGAGAGGGGAAATATAGGGTCGTCGGTTACGGGGGTTCTCAGCCTCGCGACGAACAACTCCGCTCGTGATGTCTGCCAGTGAATGACTGACTTGGTTTAATAATGGTTGTCTTTAATTAACATAGTCTTTTAGTCAACGAATCGCTTCCAGAAATGGTAGTAAAAATGTAGTTGTTGGCAAGGTAGTTTACGCTTAGGTGAATCCTAAAAAGAACTGATGAAATTGACGGTTAAGTGGGGAACGTAAATAATTATAATGGCCCTGAAAAGGGCCAGGGGTTAAACTTCTAACTATTCCTTATTATTATTCTTGATGACGAAGAGCTGGCTGCGGTTAGCTTGACTCTTACCTTCGGAGTCTCTGTGATGTGTACGAAGACCATACAGGAAGGAGGTACGCCACTCACCATAGAATATCTCGTCTTCAGGTCGTTCCCTAGACAACCAACCGTTCATTGCTAGTCAAGGAAGTAGGCCTAGAGAATACCGTCTGTGGGTATGACGTTGGGACAACCACTGAGAAGAAAGCCACTGTGGCTGTCCGTGTTTTTTAGGGCTGTCTTCCCTGGCTTTCATTTGCAGTCAAAAATTCTCTAACGGCACCAGGCTAGATGGTGGAACAGCCACATAACTCTGAAGTGTTGGAGCAGGTGATGTACTGACTAGATATATCTCCTGGTATTCTGCCGGAGACGTTATTGATTAGAATTATTTGTTAGTGAGGGCATTTCTCAATCCTGGAGGATCAGGATGGAAGTAGACCTAGGTCACTTGGTGATTGGAGGAGAGTGTTGTCGGTAACCGGGATACCTAGATGTTCGAATTTCATCTACATTCTCGATGCAGCTTGATGAACAGCCGCTAGACAAATAGGGAAACTTTCGAGTCGCTCCGGCCTACACAGAGAGTTGGTTTCCTGTAAGTATACAGTGAACGAAACTCGTACACCTACAGATGGCGTGCCGTCCTCACGAAATAGAGTAAATGTCCAGCGTACACTGAGATTTCTCGTGCATGCGCCCTACTACTGCGCGCTCGTCTGTGTTCACTCGGATTTTTCGTGCCAACGACTGTGTTCACTGAGATTTCTCGTAAACGCTGTGAAATACTGTTGGCACGTATCATCGTTTTTTGTGAATCTTATGTATCTCGTATTGTCATTCGTTTGCACTATAAAATATAAAAAAATTATGGGCTATTGTTACGAATAAAATTCATAAAAATGCAATCACAAAAACTTTTAAACATTTAAAAATGCAAAATTATACATTAACTCATTTTATTGATTACCACTTACATGTTAATACATATACTGCCACTTATATTTTAATAAACATATTTATAGTGTATGATATACCATAATTTATTCGATATAAAAATAATAAAAGTTTTAGATTAAATAAATTGTTTTATAAACGATGTCTAGTAGTTACGTATGTGCGGTTATTTTTATGTACTACTGCGCAAGGATATCTGCAGAATTTTTTTATATTTTCTAGTGCAAACGAATGAAAATACGAAATACGTAAGATTCACAAAAAACGCTAATACGTGCCAACAGTATTTCACAGCGTTTACAAGAAATCTCAGTGAACACAGTCGTTGGCACGAAAAATCCGAGTGAACACAGACGAGCGCGCAGTAGTAGGGCGCATGCACGAGAAATCTCAGTGTACGCTGGACATTCACTCTATTTCGTGAGGACGGCACGCCATCTGTAGGTGTACGAATTTCGTTCACTGTATACTTACAGGAAACCAACTCTCTTTGTATTATAACCACACTTATTTAATTCAGTTGCAGGTAGCTTCGATTTTATGTCAACGCAACCTATCGGATTCTACTGAACTAACGTAAAAAGCTGGAAAACTTTAAGCTTATTTATCGCTGTAGTTATTAACTTTTTCAGGATAAAAACTATACTAAAACCATCTAGGAAGTGTCAAGAATCGGTATGCAAAATTTCAGCAAAATCGGCTCAGTGGTTTTCGCGGTTAGCAATTACAACGGTTTTAGCGACTTTGCTTTATATATTAGTAAGAAGATCAATACACTTTATGCCCATACATTCAAACTTCTATTTGGTGCACTTCATAACCTTATCACTATTGTGTAGTACTGCTAATACCAACCTTACAGTTGACGTGCTTTGAGCCACGCGCATGATGTCTGTGGCGATTTATATATTCGAACATCGCGGTAGAATGTGTAAATTGCCTAGCAACCCGAATGTGTGATGAATAATATTTTATATCACACTAAGCGTAAAGTTCGTACTGTTCTCCCTGTATACAGGGACAGAAACTGTGTAATAAGTGCGTGTACGCATGCGTATCTATATCTTACTGTATATTACTATATACACAAACCAATAAGTGCCTGGAGTAGTTCGGTGCTCGAACATAGCGAGGGCGCCACACTGCAGTAAACAAACAAATTTGGGAAATATCAACAAGATAAAAGAAGCCAATGTACTGTTTGCTGGTGTATTTTATACAAAAAAAAACATGAGATTATGAACAAATGGAAATAATTAAAATTGTTATACAATTTTCTTTGTTCACACAGTTTTAAATAATAACTGCATTTTTACAGTTCTTCATTTTTATCAATCTTGTATAATAAACTATTGAATTTATTACATTTCGAAACACATTCATTAAAAGAGTTAAATAATTAGGTCCTTGTTTTTATGCTTCCATTGTAAGAATCGAGCGTATGCATATTCATATAATGCTCTCGATTTTATGGGAAGTAAATTTTGAACAATGGCATTTCGTTGACAGTCAAAGTCTCTTCCTTCCCCTACTTTATCCTCGTTAAAGTTTTCTTCGTCAGAAGAATCCTCTTCGAACATGACTGTCGAAACTGTTGCCATATTTTATACAAAAATACAGGAATGTCCTAAATATCACAATCGGAAACAATTATAAAAACTCTTGTGATATAACCTATAACCACACAATGAATGGCTTGTTTTCCTTCTATCTCTCTCCCTCTCAATGCAACGAACTTTCCGCTGAGTGTGATATAAAAGTATATACGCACCGCGAGACTAAAGCAAGCCAGCGAGTGGCTATTGCTAGTAGCGCCCTCGCTACGATCGGGCGCACACTACAACAGCCACGAACTGGCTTGCTTTAGTCCCTTGGTACGTAATATACTATTAATGAATTTATACACATTCTGTCAACCGCTCTTGTATCAAACGTATGAATATTCTGATAATAAATATTGATACTTTAAAATAGGAAGCATAAGTTATTTGTATTGATTTACTATCATCTATTTCCTATATGTCTGTTTCATTTTATTTTATTTATTTCGTATTTTGTAAGCACCTTTACCCCGTTTTCAAAATTGATAAATAATAATGAGATATTTCTTTTTTATTAATGATTTTTTCGTTTAAAATATAACTAATAATGTGTTAATGGATTAGTTATGAGTTGTAGAAGCCAGCAAAGTTACGATTGTCCAAAGGGTTATGTGTAACGTTTTTGAAGTTATACGTCTGTAGGCGCGTTATGCGCGATGGTACATCAACGATTTCAGATTTTGGGATTGAGAAAAAGTGTGAGGGAAGTGAATTTTGCTTGATTCTCCCCCCTTTGCTTTTTCCCCCGTGAGGTACTTTCGCTTTTCTCTACATCACAATACGACGTCAAATCACATCACCATGCCACACATTTTGAATTTTATAAATTTTATTTCTTTTTCTTTTAACCAGTTTTTAATGACAATAAAAAAAAAATATTTATGAGAAAATCGAAACTATGTCACTCAACTTTTTAAAAATTTCAAGTACATACATTAAAATATAAATGTCTTGCTTGCCTGAAAAGTCGCACGAGTCTGCTTGGAGCCAGCTGTGTCGGGCGAGGACTGCAATACATACGTGGTGTTGTGAATAGTCTCGTAATTCATGACCTCCTGGTAGATCAGCTCTTTCCACTGGTCGACGGTGTGCTCTTTCTCATCGACGCTATGATCGTAAGTGCCAGGAGCGGGCTGCAACCCCAAGTTTTGTTTAATAATCAAATGACTACTGACATGAAGACTAAAGACGAGTAACATCAACGCTACAGAGCGCGATATTCCGCCCAATGGGTTTAAAACATGTACTCACAGCATTGACTTCGCTCTGTTCGTACCAAAGACTTATGTAGTTATTAAGTAGAGCATCGTCGACGGAGATACGTTTTTCTGGATCGATGACCAGCATACGAGACAATAGATCCCTGGCTTGGCTCGCTAGAAATAACACACTAATTTTACAAGTGCACACGACACTTTGGGGGAAATATTGTACTTACTTATTGTAAAAAAAAACCAAGTACAAGTAGCACTCCGGGAGTGCAGGCAGAAGTGAAAACTTGAACTTATGGCGCGTTGGGCACTTTTTTGGGTGAGCATTTTTAGGTGCGCTTGCGACATGAGAAATTGTACATAAAAAATCAAGTTTATCAAAGCAATGTGGGCACTTTTTGAATGGACATGAAGTATAATAATATAGAAACTATATTCGAAGGAAGTGGTTTTATTTAAATGAGTAAATATTTGTAAATAGTAAATACAAAATTTATCAATTTTTTTTAACACAATACCATAGCAGCAACACAAGTCAAATGAAATATTTAAATAAACAAATTTTCCGTTTAATATTCATTTATAAAATAAATATAAAAAACTCTCAATCTCGTCTGTCATGAGGGCACGAACGAATGCCCATACAAAGACTGCGTATCAGCGTTGGTCTGAGCATTATTCCACGTTCACAGTTCATGAGTTCATGCTTGATCGCACAGAGGGCCGCTGACTGGATCCCACCGAGAACTACTTCGCGCGAGAATTCGAATTCAAAATCGTATGATTTTTTCAACAGACAGTAGGCGCGGAAATTCAAATTTGAAAGAATTCTTGGTATACTATTTATGTATGTAATCATACAACATTAACCAATATTTTTAGGCATTAATTAGCCAATACATACAAAGATTTCTTTCAAATTTGAATTTCTGCGCCTACTGTCTGCTGAAAAAATCATACGATTTTGAAATTTGAATTCTCGCGCCAAGTAGTTCGCGGTGAGATCCAGACAGCGGCGCTATGTGCGATCAAGCATGAACTGTGAGCGTGGAATAATGCTCAGACCAACGCTGCTGCGTATAGTGCGTATAGCATGCAGCGCTCTCGCATACCTATACACTCTGAGTATACATATAGGTATGTAATCTCGTCTGTCGCGAGAGCACGAACGAATGCCCATGCAAAGAGCGCGTATATTATATATATTATAAGAATACACGTGGAGTATATCTGTGTAAAATCTCGTCTGTCGCGAGAACGGCTGAAAATGCTCACCCACAAAAGTGCCCAACGCGCCATAAGAAGTTTTCACTTCAAAAAAAAATGAGGTTTGTCATAAAGATAGAGAGAGAAAATCGTACTTGTCAGCCCGTTGTGTTCCGATGAGTCCGAGGGGACATGGGAATCCGAAAATAGCCACTCGAAAGGGTAGCCGCGATAATGCGGTCGGTTTTCCACGTAATGCCTCACAGTTGGCTGCAATTTCTGTATGAATTCTGGCGCTGGAGTTCCCAGATTTTCTGCAAATCATGGTAAAATGATGAATTATTTTTTTCAAGTTTACTACACGCAAGTTCTGATATATAGTTTACCAATGATTTTGTTCCACTGATCAACGTAGTTGGAGCCAGGGAACATGACTCTGCCATGTATCATTTCGCCCATAATGCAGCCGACCGACCAGATGTCGACGTTCTCCTTGTAATCCATACCGAGAATGATTTCGGGCGCCCTGTAGAACCTCGTGACGACGTAGGGCGTCATCATGAAGTTCGTGCCAACCGTTCTCGCCAGACCAAAGTCCAATATCTTCAAGGAGCAGTCTGACTTCACTGCGATGTTGCTGGGCTTCAAGTTCTGATGATTGAATATGCTCAGCTATTTTTAATCGTGACAAAATTAAATTATTCACCTGAAACTCTCTCCAATGGAGTTTGACTTATTGCACGTCGCAAGTACCATTAGAATCGACTAAAATACAGTGATAATTTTTCGTGTCAAACACGAAGTTTCACTTTCTTTCGTCGAGAAAAAAAAAGCAGATTACAGTGTGCGAGACTACGATTTTAAAACTTGAGAAGTGTGGTACTGGCTTACATCGTCGTCGAGAATTATTTCAGTCAGAACAAACAAGTACTGGTAACACTTACCCTGTGTATGATTTCGGCGGAATGCAAGTGCTTGATGCCACAGAGAATCTGGTAAAGTAAATACGAAATGCGCTTGTGGTCCAACTCCATCTGAATCACTTGGCAAAAATTCGCTTCTATGAACTCCATCACAAGATATACGTCCTGAAACTCGTCCAAGGACTTCTGGGGTGAGAACGCGTTTAAGAGCCTAATTATCTGCGACAAAAAAAATATATGTAGAAACCAATGTCACTCTCAGATTATCTGGATTCGTATTTTATTAATGTGGCAGAAATCGTAAAATGAGGATGGTCAAGACGAATTTTTGTGAGCTCAGTATAGACGGATCGTTGTTGGCAGATACGGGCACACAAATGGTACAAGTAGAATACCCGAATAACCCAAGTGTGTCATGAAAAAAAGGTTACAGATATTAACAAAAATTTAATGTGTTGTACTTAAGTAATAATACACATCCTATAAAAAAAAAAGACTTTTGTTCCGTATAAGAGACATTTTGTCTCATACTCCTACCGAAAATACGACTTTTTACCCTGTTTTCAGGGAGCAAAGTGAAACGTTCGTGTTAGGTAACAATAACGCATGTACTGTTCATAGGAAGAGTATTTCGCTATCCTCTGTATAATTTTTTTGCAAAGGATGCTGAAATTACTTTTCCTAGAAAGCAATAAATGCGATTTTCACCTGAGAGATTATGTTGCACTTTTCTCACTAAAATCGCCCTTGCCCATGGATAACGAATGAGATTTATTCTCTCACTCGAGAGCGTAATAGGGAGTGCAGGTTGTACAAGAGAACCAGGGGTGATATACATGGGGTAGTTTTCGCCGTCTGCGTAACAGGGTGCAAGTGCTTTCCAGAAATGCGCTTTACGCTTATATTAGAGATAGGCTTTTGTCCTGTAGGCGTCCTGCGGACATGTGGAAATGTCTTCGTGATATTGGAGCATTGTCGAGTGTGAGTGCATCACCTACTATCGCATTTGATGGTGACGCCCTTAATCGACATTTTGTGGGTGCTCTTTTGGTGACTGTTTCCTTTGCTGGCCGATCATTCGATGTGCCATTTGTGGATAGATTTTGTTTCAGCCATATTAATGAATTGAGTTTGCTTGAGGCTTTTAGTGGATCAAAGACCAATGCCTGTGGAGTAGATTGGATCACGTTGCAGATGTTGAAGCTCACCATGCCTTTTATTACGCCTATCCTTTTATACATATTTGATTGTTCCCTTCAGTCGGGTATATTCCCGACTGTTTGGAGGGAAGCACTTGTGACCCCTCTACCTAAGGTGAAGCAACCCTCTGAGTTGAATCATTTTCAGCCCATTAGCGTGACATGTGCGCCTTTGGAGTTTCTTGAGGCGACGGCACTCAGGCAGATGTCAACTTTCGTGGAGTCTAGCAGACTGCTGGGCCCCCAGTAGTTGGGTTTCCGTAAGCACCACAGTATTCATACTGCACTGATTTATCTTGTCGATGAAAGTAGGGCGTCCATGGATGTGGGTCATGTCACGTTACTAGTGTCCGTGGACTTTCGGCGCGCTTTCGATGAGCTCAATATTGATGTGCTAGTAATAAAACTCCTTTCTCTTGGTTTTTTCGATTCTGCTTGCAGCTGGATCAAGTCTTTTCTTTCTGGGCGTTTACAGGCGGTTAAGATGCTGGGTAGTGGGTCTACCTGAGTACCTTGCTAATCAACTCCAGTTTAGGCCTCTTGGAGATGGTGGCTCTCTTCGTCGCTCCTAATTTGATTTGGTGATCCCATATTCTAGCACCTCTTACTATCAAAATTCGTTCCACGTAGCTGGTCCACGACTATGGAATACTCTTCCGCATGATCTACGCCGATGCTATGATCGGCCCTGTTTCAGGGTGCTCCTTTNTATATGAAGCGTCTAACAGTAGGCTGAAAACTAAACCCTGAGGTATGCCTCTGTATGCAATCTGAAAGGAGCGTATATTTCGGTCAGTGCAACTATACCTTTCCCGAGATAAAAGACTAACAAATTTGATGATTTGTGGTAAAAAGCCTGGTTGGGCTAGTCTGTATATATATATATCCTTTTTGGATATATATATGTGTGTATGCATATGTATGTATGTGCGTTTGTATGTATATATATGTACATTTTCTTCCTTTTAAGTTTATTTCTTTATTTTTGTTATACCTTTTTTTTATGATTTATTAATGCGAATTTGGTTAGGCTGATGCCATTGTATTAGCTCAGTCATTTTGTTCTTTTTATATTATATACACTATGCTTCGGCGTTGTAGGACCTTGAGTCCATTGTTGACTAAATAAATTCAACTCAACTCAACTCAACTACTGCTTTCTTCATTTTACTACTATGCTTCCGGTACGATGTTGACATAATATCATTGCGGCGGAAACATTTGTCCCTCATTGTGAAGCCCGTGGCTAATATGGGCCGTTGTAGGTTGGTATATTGATTATATAGATAATTGTATTGTCTTAGTCATTCCCTAGTGCTTTGCATGCTCTACTGTACTTAGTTTGAGTAAGAAGAGAATCAGCGTATTCAAATTGTTAATTGTACACATAGCGGTTCTTTTAAATTTTTATTTGTCAGGTAATATCATAATAAAAAAACACATCCCATTCTGACGTGGTTATATTGTAAAAAAACTTGTCAAAAAATGATCAAACACTGACAAAAACGGTTTTCGCTGTTGTATGAGAAAACACGATGCATCTGACTGAAAAAAGTACTCTAATATAAAAAAGTGCAATAAAATTACGAATCGATTGAGCTTTTGTGGTGTATAATCAGTCAACTGATTTTCATGCAAATTGCAAAAACCACGATTTTTAGCCATTTTTTCAGAAATTAACAACACGCTTTCCAATGAATATCAAGACCCAAAATTTGGTTTAGGTGTAAGTTTTGCAGCTTTCAATATGCACATGAAGTTGTAACAATATAGGATGCAAACTATTTGCAATCTACTGCAAAAAGTGAAAACAAAGTAATTTTGAAAACGGCCCTCAGAACAATTTGGGCCAGCTTGGGCAAATTTTTCAAAAGCGCTTTTCTTTTTTGAGAGTTGCTCTACAACCTACCAGAATGGTTTTTTTTCGAGGAAGTTGTACAAAAAACATCGATCGCGAAACCTGCAGTTCAGTTAGTGGCCAGTGGCGGGGGGCTGGTAGGCTTGGAAAGCCGCTAAGCGCACAACTCCTCGCGGTCCTACCTCACACTTTTGGATTTAATAGGATTGTTATTTGAGCAGTAAGTGTTTATTATGATGATAACGATTCATTATGACTATAGTCCATAAGTGACCACTTTAAGTTTATCCCTCCTCAAAAATATTTTCTTAAAGTCAAATCATGCTGAAAGGCCCTCCAAGTAGGTCAAATCCGACGAAGTATCTCATGGTACCATCAAAATTAACGTAGAATCAACCGTTTCCAAAATAAAAATTGTATTTCAATGAAACAATTTTGTTTGGTTAGTATTGATAGCCAAACTGAATTCTCCGCGTTTTTTTACATGGGTAGTCCCTTTGTCACATGAGTTTTGACCTTGTCTGTGATTACAAATTAAAATTGAAACACCAAATCATTTCAATATGCCTCTCCTGTATCGTGACTCGGCGTTCCAAGTCACGTCTGCAACTTCGCTGCGTTCGCTACAATGCTCTTTGAGGGTTAATGCATATCGCTGATCTTCTCAGGTAAAATGCGATAGCCTTCTAAATTGCGCATTTACTAAAAATCACCTGAGGAAAGTATGTAAAATTAATGAGCTACTCACTGGTAAGTGATCTTTTATTTGGCGGTTCAGTTAACTAATTCTTTCACTTTGAGGATTAAAACACCCAAAAATATTACATAGAAAATTCGCGATAAATGTCTAATCAACAGCGTATACTATTTCACCTCAAGGAATCTACGATACTTAGGCAAATCAGATGTATATCGCACTTCACCTCAGGGAATCTGCGATACCTGAGCGTATCCACGGCATATCGCACTTTACCTCAGTCAAGACCTAGATGTAAATTATAGTTTATCACATGATTTTAATTAACTTTAAATCTTTTTTTTATTATTTATTTATTTATTACTTGTCAAGACCCAAGGGGAATAGGAGTACTGTTCTACGAATATGTCAGAGTGTTGGAGTTATTGGAGAGGTGTAAAGGTTGTAGCAGTTTGTTTTGGTTGTTTGAAAATGTCGCATTCATGACGCTTAAAACAACACAAAAAATCAGCAAGTATGTATTGAGGACAAAATAATTTAATATAATAAGCCCTTAATAAATACTTTTATTTAACCGTAATAAACTGTCATATAGAACCTTAAAACAAGATCCATTGGAAATAGATTCGTCTACGTTCTCCACTCAGCGCCAAAAGCGTTTACTTTGGACAAACATAGCAAATACTTAAGTAGACAAGGAAATTGTACAACTTTAACAAGTTCTTGATAAAAATTTCGACCAGCAAGCGATGCTACAGACAATGGGGACTGTAACAAAAAATTCCAAAATACGTCTCAGCAAGTCAGTGGTTGGCTGCAGCGGGCTTGAGCGAAGTTTGAATGCCGCAAGCTTTCTCAGAACGATAAATTAGTATATACTTATTTATTCTCCTATGGCAAATCGTGAGTTTGAACGCGTTTTTTTAGCTTCTGTATATCTGCCTTCGAAAAAGGTTCACTACACAGTTCCCTTCCAAGTATACAAGTAAAATAATTTTATAGATAGGCCAATTTTCTGCGAAAGGAAGCATTGTGTGGTGAAAAAGCACATGTGAAAATTGACGAAGGTACTCGCTCGAAAGAGCAATGGCTGGGAATCGAACCACAGTCTTCCGCGTTCCGACCCGCAACCTAGCCGATCGAGCCACCACGTGATTTTGAGAATATTAAAAACTGTCATACAGTTTCTGTACACAAGTGTTATGTGATTATTTAAGGACAATTTGTAGGCTAGGTGTACTCCCAAAAATTTCACGTTATTTTTGGATATGGTAGAGGTATTACCTACTTTGATTTCAGTTTCTTCTGGTTTGATTTCTCTCTTGTTCAGGTAGAGGAAATGTGTTTTGTAAGCGGAGATATTGAGGCCAACTGTGTTGAGGTTTGTGTTTAGAATATTTATAACTTCTTCCATTATAACTTTACAGTCATATTTTGGGTTTGTTTTGACATATATTACTAGTTCATCTGTGAGTTGGGAAATATGGTAATCAGATGTTAAGCCAGCTGTAATGGAGGAAATATATGAAGCGTCTAACAGTAGGCTGAAAACTAAACCCTGAGGTATGCCTCTGTATGCAATCTGAAAGGAGCGTATATTTCGGTCAGTGCAACTATACCTTTCCCGAGATAAAAGACTAACAAATTTGATGATTTGTGGTAAAAAGCCTGGTTGGGCTAGTCTGTTTAGTAGAACATCGATATTTACTTGATCAAGGGCGAATTTAATATCCAGAAAAAATGCACACAAGTCACTGTTCCCTTGAAAGGTTTTCTGTGTGCTTAGGCAGAAATGAATCAGATTATCGATACAGGAGTGCTCTTTTCTAAAGATATGCTGACTTTTTGGAGTAAATTTAAGTTTTCAGTTCACAACTACATTCTATTTTTAAGGAGCATTTCCAGGAGTTGAAAAGGCAGGATATATGAAAGAAATAGGCGTTAACCCAGCGTTATACGGTTTTAAACGAAGTGTATATATACATCTTTTCATGAACCAGATTATTTGATGAAGGTGTACTTTTTGTTAGGGATATCAAGCACGATGAGTTTGTACTTAAAAGGTAGGTTTTTTAAGACCTTATAATCTATGCCATCCAATCCAGGGGCTAAATCGATATTTTTATTTTTAAGTGCTAATTTTAACTCCAGGAAAGAAAAAAGTAAGTCCATAAATTGGTTAGGTAAGGTTTCAGAAAAGCTTTCTGGGTTCGTATATATCCATATTGAGAGTAAATTTTGTTGATTGCGGTCTTAAATGCGTCACCATAATATTGTAGATTTCCCGAAGATTTTCAGTAAAATGAGATAATTTACCTTTAGTTTTGCTGTAGAGAAAACCAACGATTTCAAAACTTCGACCTTACACCGTATCCACTCAGCCATTATTTAAGATTGAGAAGTGTTTACCTCTTATTTTCCCCAAACTGTGGTTCATATGTCATTTTCAATAAAAATATATATTTATTTACTGTCTTTCAATCAACTAGTTTTTTAATACTTGATTTATAACGTGTATTGATATATAATTCATACTATGAAATGTTTTTTGTAGCAACATTGATAAATATTTATTTAATTTTTATTTATTTGTCATTTTTCAAAAAACATAAGTAAGTGTTTACTCAATTCTTGAATTTGTCTTCAAAATTTTTTCAAGAAAAGTTTTGTATTATCTTCATCTTTCTTATTCTTATCAGTTTACTCATACAAGGTTTTATGGATGAATTATTTGAATTTTAATACAACTTATTTTAGTAAAATTTTTATACTCGTAAATAAGGTAATTTTTTGAGTTAAGCTAAATGTAAAATCATATAACACTATTCCGTTAGGTAAAGCGACAGTACGGAATATTTTTCCAAGCCTTCTTTTAGATATATGTTGTGGGTGTTTTATGTACGTGACTAAAGAAGTGGTTTAAAAATAATTGGAAGACTCGACGATTGCGGGCAGTTTCTCAGTAATCAGCATGGCAGTACATTGTGTCAAGGCTATGTTTTGTACTTTTCTTATGTATTATTCTTTATGATTGCTTATTTATAAATATTAAAATATTTATTAAAACCACACTCAATTACATATTGTGCAAAGTGAGGTCATCAACTGTACAGATATAATACAAAAAATAATAAAAGTTTGTTCGAGAAACTCTTTATATGTTGAGTACAAGGGAAGCGGACCCGGCGACAATGAATAGCGTGCTTTCTGCGTACTATGCCCTGCTGATATTGTTGGTGGACTAGCTGTCTCGAGCGGCTTGCTGGCTGCTGCTGGTGTGGCTTGGCTGGTAGAGGCTTGTAGCTGGCCAGCTGATGCGTGAACCTGTGTATCAGGAGACGAACTGAACTGGTCCCGGCACAGGCCGTCGATGCCAGCGGCAGCGGCGTAATGAAGCGCCGAGACGATCAGGAGGGGGGGCCGACCGACAGTATATCGTCGAACGAAACAAAGTTTATAAAACTTAAATTATAATTTAACTGATTTTCTCCTTCTCTAATAAATAAATAAAAGACTTTCCATAAAATGTTTTTGTTTATTACAAAATGTTTACTTATGACAGTTTATTACCGTTAAATAAAAGTATTTTACAATTGAATCAGATACATAACATCAATAAAAAATTTTAATTAGATCAACATTCAATAATTGCTATTATAGTAACAAAGTAAAAATTATCAACCACCAAAAAAGAATTAACATTAAAATGTTATATTCAAATGAAAAGGTTTGAAGATACATGAATTTGAGCTAAAATTTGAAGAATTTATATTCATTGTAACGTTTTTGATGGCTGCTGCAGTGAAAGAGTCACAAGATGTCTCATCGATGTTCATTTTTTAAGGCGTGTCTTTTGATGACACTTCAACTGTATCAGTAATGTCAACCTTTGGAGGGAATACACTGGAATCATTGAGTTTTACTTGTTTTGACGATGAAGCCTGACTGTTATCTCCTATTTCAACAATATCTGACACTATTTCGTCACACAGTTTTTGCTTATTACTTACAGAATCAGCTATGTCGCCTTCAGCTACTTTTGTCAATTTCCATCCTCCATGACGTTTAATCTCTACTTCATTTTCTCCTGCATCTGCCAACAGAGATGTTGAAGTTCTGCTTAGGCTATGAAAAGCGTACAATTGAGGTTAGGGTAAATCTAACCGTTTAGCAATTTTAATAGTGTAGTCACCGAGTCCATTTTTACTAACAATCTGTCTGGTGCATTTTTCATTCAGATATTTTACAAATAGATTGTCAGGAACTAACTTATTCGACTTGGATCTCAAATTGATGTAGTTTACAATTACTGTACGGAATGGTTCATTTACCGTGAAAATGCGAACTATGTGGATTTTTGTTTTGGACAGTGTAACTACGAGATATTACTGTTTATCTTGAATGTCACTAATGCATAGATCATGGAGTTCCTGTCTTCGACAAGCACCTGCGAGGCCGAATATCAAAGCGACCTATAATTTTTAAGGTTAGTTAATGGAAATTATTTAAAGCTACATATTTTAGTATTAAATAAAAGAACAGTTATCACCTTAATGCCTAGAAAATCTTTGTCTGGAGCTTGAAGCAGGAACTTCTTTCACGCATCCGTTGTGAAAAGCGATGCTTTTTTTATTTGTATCCAGTATTCAATTTCTTGATGAAAATTTTGAGTTAGTAATATTGCCTAATATCTACATTTTTCTCTGTATAAAATATTGGTCGGAGCATTGAAAATTTTGACCATAAAGAGGGATGTGCTAGAGACTTGCTTAGATCATTGAAATAAATCAAAAGTACAGTTTCAGAAAACGAATTGGTATTTATTTTTCATCTATTCAACAAATACCTCATATGCAGCTTTGTATTTTATTTTGGAAGCATCAGGCAGTGTATCAGTCACAGCATCTTGAGCAGCATCAATTAATTCCTGTGAAATGTTTTCATCTGATTATTCAGTCATCGTCTTCTCTTGATTTCTATGGTTGAGCAACCTTGAGAAATAAAAATGATTGAATTAAACAATGGTGTGCATAATCAGTAAACATTTTAAAAAAAAAAGACAACAATACTCACTTATAGTTGATTATTTAACAGTTTGTTTCTTTTTTTAAAGGTTAGAACTCTTTAACTGTAGTATGCTAAACATTTTGTTTCCAGTAGAGAAAAACGTATATTTGACATAAATATATATATATATAAATATATAAATAGGGCTTCAATGGATTTAAATATATAAAGTTTAGTGAATTGTTTCATATAATTATACTTACAGTCAGCTAAAATTTGTAGAGAAGTTGAAAAATACACATCAAAACTGACGCATAGTTAACAAATTGCGTGCACCATATTCAGAGGGGTAGACTGGCAGGGGAAGCGAAGGAAAAAAAGAACTTGTGTATTAACGGTGGAGTTTTTAGATAAGCATTACAAACGTATGGTACATACCTCAAATGATGTGAACACACTCGTTGAAAAAAATTATTTTACTTGTATACATGGAAGGGAACAGTGTAGTGAACTTTTTTCAAAGGCAGCTATACAGAAACTGAAAAAACGCGTTCGAACTCACGATTTCCCGTAGGAAAATATATAAGTATATACTAATTTATCGTTGCAACAGAGCTTGCGGCGTTCGAACTTTGCTCAAGCCCACTGCAGCCAACCACCGACTTGCCGAGACGTACGCACTTTACTTCTCTTCTACGCTTCAATATCAAATAAGCTACATGTATATATATATATTATAGTGCTTTACGTCCGGCTCCTATAAAGGGCACTACTGAGGGCACTTAGCACTTTGGAGAAGGAAGGGAAGAGGGATGGGAGGCCTCCAATTACTGGGAAGGGGGTTGGGGGAAATTAGGCAATTATGCTGCAAGAAGGTCGCCTAAACCCTCCTCGAGGAGCATTGCGTGGTGAAAAAGCACATGTGAAAAATCACAGAGGTACTTGCCGGGAATCGAACCACGGTCTCCCGCTTGCCAATCCACGACCTAGCCGACTGAGCCACCACGCGCTCTTATATGTATATATTATAGTCAAGAAGCCACTATCAACATTGCTGGTTAAAACAGTTGTTCGACCTCAGTGATCCATGATGAATCTTCTACGCCATTCATTAATATAATCCTCTCCTGTCAAATAACGTTTTTAATTTATAAATTGTATATGTTCGTATTAGACAATTTTTGTATTCACTTTTTTTTTATTGACATGTAATTTTTTGTTATAGTTCCCATTGTATGTACCATCGCTTGCCGGTCGAAATTTTTATCAAGAACATGTTAAAGTTGTACAATTTCCTTGTCTATTTAAATATTTGCTATGTTTGTCCAAAGTAAACGCTTTCAGCGCTGAGTGGAGAACGTAGACGAATCTATTTCCAATGGATCTTGTTTTAAGGTTCTATATGAC